AAACTTGTCCCAAACTGAATTAAAACTTGTCCCAAACTGAGTTAAAACTTCTCCCAGACTGAATTAAAACAACTTGTCCCAAACTGAATTAAAACTTGGCCCAAACTGAATTAAAACTTGGCCCAAACTGAATTCAAACTTCTCCCAAACTGAATTAAAACTTGGCCCAAACTGAATTAAAACTTCTTCTCCCAGACTGAATTCAAACTTGTCCCAGACTGAATTCAAACTTCTTCTCCCAAACTGAGTTAAAACTTCTTCTCCCAAACTGAATTCAGACTTGTCCCAAATGGAATTCAAACTTGTCCCAGACTGAGTTAAAACTTCTCCCAGACTGAATTAAAACAACTTGTCCCAAATTGAATTCAAACTTGTCCCAGACCGAATCAGATCCCAGAAACCGGGCCGGGCTGGAGTCACAACCTCGTGAATTTATTCCACCTTTTTTGTGTTGTTTTTTTTTTTTTCCCCCCTCGAGGTAACTATGGCAACCAGGTGGATGGAGTGGACAAGCCCACGCTGCCGAGGAGGAGGAGGAAGGAGGGAGGGGACGAGGAGGAGTCGGAGCTGCTGCAGAATTCCAGCGAGGAGGAGGGGGAGGAGGACGGAGAACTGGTCTCAGTCTCCTCCTCCCCACCCATGAAGCCCCTGGTCACCGACAGGTCCGTGTGTCCCCCCGAGCATTCCCGGGGGATTGGAGAAAGAGGGAATTGTCCTCCCGGGATACACTGCACAGGAACATCCTTCATCCCCATCTGGGTGCACCCCCGAACTCCAGGCTCTGGGATCCCTTTGGGGATCTCCCCCCCGCGGCAAAGAGGAACTGGGAAGGGGCTGGAACAGCAGGAATATCTGAGGGAGCTGGGAAGGGACCGGAAAACCTGGAATGGCCGAGGGAGCTGGGAAGGGGATGGAGCAGCAGGAATGTCTGAGGGAGCTGGGAAGGGGCTGGAGAACCTGGAATGTCTGAGGGAGCTGGGAAGGGGCTGGAGCAGCAGGAATATCTCAGGGAGCTGGAGGGGCTCATCCCGGAGAAAAGAGGGATCAGGAGGGACCTTTTCCCACAGGTTTTTCAGGCTGTAACCCACAGGTTTTGAGACTGTAACTCACAGGTTTTCAGGCTGTAACCTGCAGGTTTTCAGGCTGTAACCCACGGGTTTGTTAGGCAGTAACCCACAGGTTTTGAGACTGTAACCCACAGGTTTTTCAGGCTGTAATCCACAGGTTTTTCAGGCTGTAACCCACAGGTTTTTCAGGCTGTAACCCACGGGTTTGTTAGGCAGTAACCCACAGGTTTTGAGACTGTAACCCACAGGTTTTCAGGCTGTAACCTGCAGGTTTGTTGGGCTGTAACCCGCAGGTTTGTTGGGCTGTAACCTGCAGGTTTTCAGGCTGTAACGCACAGGTTTTTCAGACTGTAACCCGCAGGTTTTTCAGGCTGTAACCCACAGGTTTTCAGGCTGTAACCCACAGGTTTTTCAGGCTGTAACCCGCAGGTTTTTCAGGCTGTAACCCGCAGGTTTTGAGGCTGTAACCCACAGGTTTTCAGGCTGTAACCCACAGGTTTGTTAGGCTGTAACCCACAGGCTTTGAGGCTGTAACCTGCAGGTTTTGAGGCTGTAACCCACAGGTTTTGAGGCTGTAACCCACGGGTTTTTCAGGCTGTGATCCTCCCCCTGCTCCCCTCTCCTCCTGCAGGAATTACTTCCACCTGCCCTACCTGGAGCGCAAGCCCTGCGTGTACATCAGGAGCTGGTGGCAGGACCAGCGGCGCCGCCTCTACAACTCCAACATCATGGACAAGATCGCAGACAAGCTGGTCAGTGTGGGGGGCACAGGGTTGGGGGGCACATCCGGGGCATGGGGGTGGCACAGGCAGCCGGGATTGTGCCCTGTGTCATCCCCTGGTCACACAGTGGGGACAGGCATGGCCAGGAGAGCTGGGCCGGGAACGGGGCTTTCCAAACCCTATGGGACAAATCTCAGGAGGTCACTGGGGCCTCTGTGGGTCACAGCCCGGTGTCCCCAGTCCTTGGGGGTCACAGCCTGGTGTCCCCAACCCTCGAAGGTCACAGCCCGGTGTCCCCAGTTGTCAGGACCCTTGTGGGTCACAGCCTGGTGTCCCCAATCCTCAAGGGTCGCAACCTGGTGTCCTCAATCCTTGGGGGTCACAGCCCGGTGTCCCCAACCCTCAGGGGTCACAGCCCAGTGTCCCCAGTCCTTGGGGGTCACAGCCCAGTGTTCCCAACCCTCAGAACCTCTTGGGGTCACAGCCTGGTGTCCCCAAACCTCAAGGGTCACAGCCCAGTGTCCTCAATCCTCGGAGAGTCACAACCCCGTGACCCCAATTGTTGGGGCCCCTGTGGGTCACAGCCTGGTGTCCCCAATCCTCAGTGGTCACAGCCCGGTGTCCCCAACCCTTGGAGCCTCTGGGAGTCACAGCCCAGTGTCCCCAGTCCTTGGGAGTCACAACCCAGTGTCCTCAACCCTTGAGGGTCACAGCTCAGTGTCCCCAACCCTCAGAGGTCACAGCCCAGTGTCCCCAGTCCTCAGGGGTCACAACCTGGTGTCCCCAACCCTTGGGGCCCCTGTGGGTCACAACCCGGTGTCCCCAGTCCTTGGGGATCACAGCCTGGTGTCCCCAACCCTTGGGGTCTCTGGGGGTCACAACCTGGTGTCCCCAGTCCTTGGGGGTCACAGCCCGGTGTCCCCAACCCTTGGG